GGGATCCCTGCTCAGCGGGAGGCCTGCTTCTCCCTCTCCCCCTCCCCCCTGCTTGTGTTCCCTCTCTCTCTGTGTCTCTGTCAAATAAATAAATAAAATCTTAAAAAAAATAAAAATAAAAAATAAAATCCTTAATAATGAAAAAGAAAAAAATTAAAAACAAAACCAAAAACACACAAACCCTTGGTAAATCCATTCTAATACAAAAAAAGGCAAGAGGGGACAAGAACTGTGGAAATAAATGAGGCATAGGTACCAGAGACTGAAACAGGCTTCAGGGTAACCTTGTGAAAATAGCAATTTTGTCCATACTATTCTTTTAAGAAAGCCATAGCTACACTATTCTGACTGGCAGAATATTAAAGATCCAGTAGCCTCTGTGCGCTACAAATGACACAGTACCTCCTATGAATATATAATACACTTGAATTCCAAATGAAGGGGAGAAATGTCTGAGCATCTTATTGAAAAGAAGTCTGACTTTTCTGTGAACACCATTTGGCCACCAACAATGGACTCTCCACATCCGTCACATAATTCCTAGTGAAATTTCTTTGTTGCTTTGGAAAAGATTCAGTCCAGGAGAATAAATCATTTTTTAAAAAATCACTGTCAAAGAGGGGCGCCCGGGTGGCTCAGTCATTAAGCATCTGCCTTCGGCTCAGGTCACGATCCCAGGGTCCTGGGATCGAGCCCCGCATCGGGCTCCCTGCTCCGCGGGAGGCCTGCTTCTCCCTCTCCCACTCCCCCTGCTTGTGTTCCCTCTCTCGCTGTGTCTCTCTCTCTGTCAAATAAATACATAAAAATCTTTAAAAAAAAAAAATCACTGTCAAAGAAAAAAAATTCTCTCAAACAGGAAAAAAAATTGGAAACCAGGAAAAAAAAAAAAAGAAAATCAAGCTAAAAGATTTTCACAATTCAATCATTTGAGTGTCTGGTTTTTTTCTGCTCTAGATACCAGTAGTGATGCCACAGTGCAATTGACTGTTCTAGAGGCACACACAACTATTATTTTAAAACAAGAAACAAATGAGCACTTGTTGGCATACATTGCAGATGGCTCTCCACAAAAAATGAATGAATGAAATCATAACAATTTTTACATTTTTAAACATAAACACCTTCAACTGCTAGGAAAGAAACCAGCTGCTAAAAAAGTACTAGACAGAACTGTATTGGTCTCTTCATGTTGTTACACATGGGATTCCACCCAGATATCCTCTAAATCATAGAAGGGGATGGGGTGCCTGCCTGGCTCAGTCAGTTCATGCAACACTTGATAGAGGGGGTTGTAAGTTTGAGTCCCATGTTGGGTGCAGAAATTGCTTAAAAATAAAAAAAATAAATTGTAGAACAGGTATTTTCCTGACCTTAACAGTTTTCCAACTTATAATTTCATATACTTTCTTTCTTTCTTTTTTTTTAAAGATTTTATTTATTTATTTGACAGAGAAAGACACAGCGAGAGAGGGAACACAAACGGGGAGTGGGAGCGGGAGAAGCAGACTCCCTGCCGAGCAGGGAGCCCGATGCGGTACTCGATCCCGGGACTCCAGGATCATGACCTGAGCCAAAGGCAGTCGCTTAACCAACTGAGCCACCCAGGCGCCCTATAATTTCATATACTTTCTAATTCTGATATTTTTCAAATGTTAATGAATTCTCAAAAAAGTGTTAATGAGGTGTGCCTGGGTGGCTCAGTCTGTTAAGCGACCCACTCTTGATTTCAGCTTAGGTCATGATCTCAGGGTTGTGGGATGGAGCCCTGCGTTGGGCTCTGTGCTCAGCATGGAGTCTCCTTGGGATTCTCTCTCCTCTCCCTCTGCCCCTCCCCCCACTCATGTGCCCTCTAAATAAATAAATAAATCTTTTAAAAATGTTAATGAGGGACACCTGGGTGGCTCAGTCGGTTAAACGTCTGCCTTAGGCTCAGGTCACGATCCCAGGGTCCTGGGATTGAGTCCCACATCGGGCTCCCTGCTCAGCGGGGAGCCTGCTTCTCCCTCTGCCTGCTGTTCCCCCTGCTTGTGCTCTCTCTCTCTCTGATATATAAATAAATAAAATCTTTAAAAAAATAATAATAAAAAATAAAAAATGTTAATGATTTTTCTACTAACCACTTATGTAGAAACTGATCTATCATGTTTCATATTACAACCTGTCTTAAGCTTTTCATGTCAGTTATATCATTTGCATGGCTCAGATGCTTGACAAAGAAGGTATTATTAACACTATTTTGCCCATGAGATTATTGGAAAAAAAGAAAAGGGAGGGAGTTTAAGTAAAAAAGCAAGGTTAAAAAAAAAGGGCAAGGTCACAAGTAAGCGCCTGATGCAGTAAAACCTAGGTTTTCTGACTATCAGTCTAGTCCTTCTTCATTTTAGGAAAGTTGCTGTTTAAAGGACACTAAAATACTAGTCACTCCCTCCCACTTTTCTCCAAGATTTGTTCAAACAAAACAATTAAGTAGACTTTAAAGTTAACAGGAAATGACAGAACCAAAAATAACTGGGGTGTGGTCTCACCTCTGAAAAAGATTTCCAGCTGTGAATAAATGCAGACAACTCTGGCCAGACAAGATAACATCAGATCAGGATTTAGTACCCAATACAATGGACCTTAGCTACATATACAGTGACACCTTATTTTCTTAGAACAAACCTCAATTATTTCAAACTCTGGAAAACCCAGGAAAAAAGCAACATAAGTCACAGAGAAGCCAAAATTGCTGTGGTCAAGTTCTCACACTACAGTATTTATATTTAAGATAAATCCACAAACTCTAAGTAAGGGCTTGAAATCATTATATTTCATTTATTTAAGCGTAATCTTGTAAGTATACAACATGCAGTAATTTATAATTTGGCCAAAAAACAAATTATACAGACAATGGAAGTGTTTACTTAACTGTGAGCATGCCTAGCAATAAGAGAGCACCTGCCTTTTAACTATGTTTCATTTTACTTTACTTCTATATTTAAGGGTCTGAAAGGGTTATTTTAAAATTTCCTTTATATCTTATGGCATCTTATGGTGGGAATTACATGCCACAATGGCGATCAGAATTTGGGATTCCTAAAGGTCTGAGGACTGCCACTAAGCTTCACTGAGATCCTATTTATTCTAACTTGACACACAATTCTGGTTTATCTGGTTTCCCTGCCTACTTCAGCTTAGAAACAGCAGATTAGAAGGGCATATTTTGACAGATAAAGAACAGTACTGGAGAAGATAAACAAAAAACAGACAAAAGCATTAAACAGTATAGCAGTAAGGAGTCATTTTGGTACAGGAGGAAACTGCCAACACCCTTAAACAGCAGAATGCACCAGCCATGTTAACAGCACAGGACAGAAATTAATGTACACAACTGACCTTGATTTATCAAAAAAGGTTATGTTTGGTATATTCTTTATCTTAAGAGAAGGTTTATACTCTTTACGGGTTATATACTATAAAAACTGCCATTAAAATGGTCAAAATTATTTAAGTTAAAGGGCTAAATGTCAGTTATATGAACAATTCACTTCGATCCTTAATAATACCAGACGATCTGAGTAGATAAATCTCAAAAACCCCATTTTATTTACTGAACATTATATAGTGTAGGTAATCAGTGTTCATGATCATCACTTATGATCTTGACTTTTTTTTTTTTTTTTAAAGATTTTCATCTATTTATTCATGAGAGACAGAGAGAGAGGCAGAGGGAGAAGCAGGCTCCCAAGGAGCAGAGAGCCCGATGCGGGACTCGATCCCAGGACCCCGGGATCATGACCTGAGCCGAAGGCAGACGCTTAACCATCTGAGCCACCCAGGCGCCCTGATCTTGACTTTTTAGAGGGGAAAAAACTAAGTTACACACTAAAATTAGTAGTGTAGAAAATCAACATTTATGATGATTCATGTGTTAGGGAGAAAAAATTTAAGTTAAACACTAAAATTCTCCCCCTTCACTGAACATTCAATAGGCTTTTCCACATTAAAACAAAAACAAAAACGTATTCTGTCACCAATCTTAGTTTCCTTTCTCTTTCTAATTACCAAAATGAAAAAATAAAAGTATTTTAATAGCTTTGCCCACTTAGAGCTAACCCCTTTATCAGAAGCCACTAACACAGCTCGCTTAGGTGTACACTCCCTTCTTATAAATAGTGCTTTCAAACCGATAGTTAAAACTCAAGAGCCAAGAGTTGTACCTAAGTGTCACGGCTGAACAGAAGTGCATAAATTAGAGGTTATGTTTAAACCAGTGTAAGTAGTTTAAGAGCAGAAACAGCTACAATGTAAAACCCTACAGTAAGGAACATTTTAGTTTTGGTTAGACATCTGAATCAGAGAATATCCTTCTTCAAGTCTCTACAGCCAAAAAAATAAAATAAAGCACCAACATCATGTCAAGAGATCTGCAAATCCCTTTCACACATCACAAAATGGATTTATTTGTATTTATTTCACCACACTGTTTCTTTTAAATAACAGCAGTGACTTGTGATGATCTGTAGAAAGTGGGCCAAAAGGTACATGGTAAACGTCCTTAAAAAGGGGGGGGGGGAGGGGCGAGATAATCAGATCCTAAAGAAGGGGAGCGGCAGAAAGATCTGACTTGGAAGAATCTACTAAAGTCCCTGCCCACATCACCCTAAATGGCTTCACAGATAAAAGACGAGAAAAGAGGAATCGTTTCTTTTAAAAAAGATGGGGGTCCTGGCCCTTTGGGGTGGCGGGAGAAGAAATCCCCACCCCACCCGCAAGTCCCACACTACGGGAGATAAATTAGCACTCTCCAGCTAGCTACAGATCAAGGTGCATCAGAAAACGCCCAAGGACTGCCCTGCGGGGCTCCCCCTCCCCTCTCTCACACTCCCTCCAGGTCCTCCTCCCGGACCGACGCCCTCCCGCCCCCCCCTTCCCGGCTCCCCGCCCTCCGTCCCCCCGCCGTCGCCCGGCCGAAGGCCGTTTCCCGCGGGTGAACAAGGAGGGCCCTGCCCGCCCGGCACCTTTGATGACGCGTTCGGTGGTGGAGAGGTGGAGGTTCCTCCCGGACATGGTCCCTCGGCCTCCTCTCGGCTCCAGGCGACTGCCAGACGCGCGCCTCCGCCTTCGTGTCCAGCGGTGTCAGCTCCCCGGGTCAGTCAGCCCACGGTGCTCCGGCCCCGGCTCCTCCGGGCGGCCCAGGTACCAGGAGGAGGTGGCCGCGGCAGCCCGGCCTCGAACCTCGCTGACAGGATGCGGGCCCACTGGCCGCTCGCTCCTGAGGAGCCGAGTCGGGAGCGCTGGTGGCTAAGGGAGGCAACCGCGGCGGCCGCGGCTGCTCGCGGCCCGGTCCCGCGTGCGCGCGCGCGCGCTCCCGCACGCCGGTCTCCCAACTTCCCGGCGGCCCGCGCGCGCCGCCTCCGCCGCCGCGCCAAGGCCCAGCGCGCAGCCCCGCTGCCCTGGCCGGCGCTGCCACCTGACCTCCCGCCCCCTCCCCGCGGCAGTAGCGCACCCCGGCTTTCCCCTTCTTCCGAAGGCCCTCGGCCCGCGCGGCCGTGCTTCCTTTCTCCCCTCCTGCTTCCGACGGTGTGTTTGTCCTCTCCTCAGCCTGCCCTCCCTGCAGCTGGCTGCCCCGGGCCGCAGCACCTACCACCAGCCCCTAGGTCCGGCACGGAAAGCCCCGGCGAAGCAGCGGCCATCTTGTGACCTGGCCGCGGCGACCCACAGCGGCTCCCCGGACCGCGAACCTCCTGTCACCCTCACCCTGGGGCCACCTTGCCAAGAGCCCTTGTCTTCCCAGACCCTCCTCACGGGAGCCCTGCCTCCTTTTCTTCTGGTCTTCCACCGCTCTGTCTCTAGGGAGCCCCTGTCAATCTGACCACGCTCCTTCCCACGGTTACCCTCCCTCGCACCCCCATTCACCACTGAAGCCCGCATTTCAGTTTTCACATTTGTTGAGTGCCGTTAGTATAGGAAGAGGTACGTTCGTGTCCATGCCAGCTCCAGTCCAGTAGTTGGCGGGCCTCAGATTCCAGGTGGCATGAGACCCGGCTGGGCCCCGTGGCCTCCTCACTTCCTTTCCACGTTTAAGAGAAGGGAGAGCAGCCGCTCCACGGAGCTGCTCGGCCAGGCCTCCAATGTGCAGGGAACTGAGCTTCTTGTAAGCCCTGCGTGTCACCCACTCTGCTACAAGCAAGCCCGCTCTTCTTCCTCTTCGATGCAGTGACACGGTACCTGCTTGCCCCGCTCATGCTTACTGCGGAACATGATGGGCAAGGCTCTAGAGTCTTAACGATCTAGCTCATCTCTGGGTTAAAAACTGACCTTTTCTTTCCTTTAATTGTAAGCTTAGAATAGAAACTGTCTTACTGTGACTGTCTAACCTCACCGAGTATAGTGCCTGTCAAAGTCAGAAGTATTTTGAGTTTAGCAATGATAATGTAATATTAAAACTGAGATCCAAGGAAACTGGATCCAAGATCCAGTCTTAACAGTTACTCTGGTGGCCAATAAGTCATATGTGGTTACACACGTTTAAATTAAATAGAATTCAAATTTAAATATTCAGTTCCTCAAGTGCACATTTCAAGTGCTCAATAACTACCTGTGGCTAGTGGCTATCTTATTGGACATGGTAGCATAGGACATCTCCATCATAGCAGAAAGTTCTTTTGGACAGCTCCTAGCTAAAAGATTAGAAGGGTTAAAGCCTAAATCTCCATTAATATAGATTTATGTATTGGGAGGAGATCTGGGGATAAACTCTGTGAAGTCATTCCCTGAATTATGCCTTGGAATTTTGACCTAAGGCCATTCATAGTAACCCTAACAAGGCAGGAGCACTTTGGAAGCTGGATTTAATTTGGTTCTGTTTTCTTGGGTTTTGACATCAGGCTTCCACCCAAGAGAATTGTTCAGATATCCCGAGGAAGTTCTTCATTTAAGAAGTAATGAGAACGCCACACTTCTATCAAATAGAGCAAATTTCTAAAGGTCAAAAACAAATTGGTCCCTGCAGCATAGTAGATGTGAAAATTCATCTGGAAGAACATAAACAGGAGAGCTGAAAACAAAAATGTTAAGCAAATATTGCAAACCAATGTGAAGAGATGGATTTTACAATAATAGTAGTGGGGGAAAAAACTACCATTTGGATCTCAAGTTGGAGCCACTCCACAATATAAATAAATAAATAAAATATTATAATATATAAAATAATATAAATAAAAAATATTTTATTTTTTACTTTTTTTTTTCTTTAAGATTTTATTTGAGGGGCGCCTGGGTGTCAGTCAGTTAAGCGACTGCCTTCAGCTCAGGTCATGATCCTGAAGTCCTGGGATCAAGTCCCACATCAGGCTCCCTGCTCAGCGGGGAGTCTGCTTCTCCCTCTGACCCTCCCCCGTCTCATGCTCTCTCTCTCTCATTCTCTCTCTCAAATAAATAAATAAATAAATCTTTAAAAAAATGAATATTTTATTTGAGCCCCAATGTGGGGCTCAAATTTACAACCCTGAGATTAAGAGGTGCGTGCTCTACTGAGCCAGACAAGTGCCCCAAAGATTTTTGTTTTACTTATTTTTTTAAGGTCTGGGACACCTGGGTGGCTCAGTCGGTTAAGCGTCTGCCTTCAGCTCAGGTCATGATCCCAGGGTCCTGGGATTGAGTCCCGCATCGGGCTCCCCGGAGAGCGGGGAGCCTGCTTCTCCCTCTGGCTCTCTCTCTCTCTATCTCTCATGAATAAATAAATAAAATCTTAAAAAAAAAAAAGGTTTTATTTTTGGGGCACCTGGGTGGCTCAGTTGGTTAAGCGGTTAAGTCTGCCTTGGGCTCAGGGGATGATCCCAGAGTCCCTGGATCCAGCCGCAGGGGACTCCCTGCTCAGCGGGGAGTTTGTTTCTCGCTCTCCTTCTGCCCCTCCCCACCCCCTTGTGCACATGTGTGCTCTCTCTCTCAAATAAAATCTTAAAAAAAAAAAAAGATTTTATTTTTAAGTAATCTCCATAATATCAAAATAAAGTGAACCTTGTTTAAAAAGTTACATGTAAAAAATAAAAGAAAAAATCTAAAAGAAAATGAAGAAGTTATCCTACTTGGTTAATTGTGGTAACTCCAGAGCTAATATATCCCGAAAGATGCTGATGCTCCCTCCCCCCACTTATCAAATCAAACACAACTTAGTTAATTCAGATAAGGACTTTCAAGGCTCAAAAGTAATGAAAGGGGGGCGCCTCGGTAGCTTAGTCAGTTAAGCGTGGGACTCTTGATTTTGGCTCAGGTCATTATCTCAGAGTTGTGGAATTGAGCCCCATATTGGGCTCTGTGCTTAGTGGAGTCTGCTTCTCTCCCTCTCCCTCTACCCCTCCCCGTGTGCTGTTTCTGTCTCTGTCTCTCTCTCTCTCAAATAAATAAATCTTAAAAAAAAAAAAAAGTAATGAAAGGAATCACGAAAGAATATTGTTTGACTGTTGGAAAAAAATAAACACAATTAAAAGGCACAAAAGAGGAAGATATTTGCATCTCCTAAATCAGGATAAAGAACTTTCACTATTCAAAAGAAGAGGTCTACAGGGCGCCTGGGTGGCTCAGTTGGTTAAGCGACTGCCTTCGGCTCAGGTCATGATCCTGGAGTCCTGGGATCGAGTCCTGCATCGGGCTCCCTGCTCAGCAGGGAGTCTGCTTCTCCCTCTGACCTTCCTCCTTCTCATGCTCTCTGTCTCTCATTCTCTCTCTCTCAAATAAATAAATAAAATCTTTAAAAAAAAAAAAAAAAGAAGAGGTCTACAATACAAGTATGGGGAAAGGCCATGAACAATGAATTTATAAAAGAATAAAAGATAAGGCACTAAACGTTAAAAAATGTTCAACTTCATAAGTAATCAAAAATTCAAATTAAAACAAGATGCTATTTCTCACATAGCAAATTGGAAAACATTTTTATTTTTTTAATTTATTTATTTTAAAGATTTTATTTATTTATTTATTTATTTATTTGACACAGAGAGACACAGCAAGAGAGGGAACCCAAGCAGGGGGAGTGGGAGAGGGAGAAGCAGGCTTCCCGCGGAGCAGGGAGCCCGATGCGGGGCTGGATCCCAGGACCCTGGGATCGTGACCTGAGCCGAAGGCAAACGCTTAACGACTGAGCCACCTAGGTGCCCCTGGAAAACATTTTTAAAAGGGGACACTGTGGGGTGCCTGGGTGGCTCAGTCGTTAAGCGTCTGCCTTCAGCTTGGGTCGTGATCCCAGGGTCCTGGGATCGAGCCCCGCATCAGGCTCCCTGCTCCGCGGGAAGTCTGCTTCTCCCTCTCCCACTCCCCCTGCTTGTGTTCCCTCTCTCACTGTGTCTCTCTCTGTCAAATAAATAAATAAAATCTTTAAAATAATTAATTAATTAATTAATTAATTAATTTAAAAAAAGGTGACACTGTTAGGGGGCACCTGGCTGTCTCAGTCTTCAGAGCATGCGACTCTTGATCTTGGGGTTATGAGTTAAAGCCCCAAGTTGGGTGTAGAGATTACTTAAAAAAAAAAAGTGACACTGTTGGTAAATTACAAATTAGCACAACTTCTCTGGAAAGGGATTTGTCAGTATCAAAGAAGAGATTAGATATGGCTGATGAAAAGATTTTCTCAACATTGTTAGTCATCAGGGAAATGCAAAATAAACCATACTGAGATACCACTTCACTAGCTGAAACTAAAGATTCTCAGTACCAGGGTGCCTGGCTGGCTCAGTCAGTAGAGCATGTGACTTTTGATCTCAGGGTAATGAGTTTGAGCCCCTTAAAAACAAATAAAATACAGCGGTTAAGAAAAAAGATTATACCAAGTGTTGGCAAGAGTGGGAGCAATTGCAACTCTACTTCGTTACTGGTGGGAGGGTAAAATGCTAAAACTACTTTGGAAAACAGTTTGGAAATTTCTTTTTTTTTTTTTTTTTAAGATTTTATTTATTTATTTGAGACAGAGAGAATGAAAGACAGAGAGCATGAGAGGGAGGAGGGTCAGAGGGAGAAGCAGACTCCCTGCTGAGCAGGGAGCCCGATGCGGGACTCGATCCCGGGACTCCAGGATCATGACCTGAGCCGAAGGCAGTTGCTCAACCAACTGAGCCACCCAGGCGCCCAGTTTGGAAATTTCTTATAAAGTTAAATATACACCTACTCTATGACCCAGTAATTCTACTCTTAGGTATTTTACCTGACAGCAATGATTATACAAATAATGAAATACTACTTAGCTAGTAAAAGAGAAATAATTGGGCACCTGGGTGGTTCAATTGGTTAAGCGACTACCTTCGGCTCAGGTCATGATCCTAGTGTCCCGGGATCGAGTCCAGCACTGGGCTCCCTGCTCAGTGGGGAGTCTGCTTCTCCCTCT